AGCAGCCCGAGATCTGAGAGGACTTGGTGTTCTAAGTATGTCAGACTTCTATGTTCATGTGGGTCTCCTTCCACCAGGACAGGCCCGTAGCTCATAGCCTGGTGGAACAGCACCTGTAATTTCTGTCCAGGGAGATTAGAATCTTAAGAGGTCGCACCCAGAGAAGGGTCATAGAAGTGAACCTCTACCTCTGGACCACCTTCCTCCTCAGATCTACACATTTCTCAGTAATCAGTGTCATTTTTCAGAGAAGAAAAATAATATCAATCTGGAAGCCCCAGTTTAAGCCTGAATAAAGCAACATGTTTCATTTGAATAAAGCAATATGTTGTGCTAGCTAGACAGGTCTAGCTACTTTGACCCACACCTGCATCCCTTTTTGCTTTCATTAATATTTACAAAGGTCTGGTGTGTTCTTGCCAGGGTTGGCTTGGACTTTGATCCTCCTATCTATGCCTTTCACCCAGCTAGAATTATGTGTGTACTGCCACATCCAGCCCTCATGTGTTGAAAGAGCCAAACACAGAGCTTCGGTGGAATCACAGCTCCCTGAGGAGAGGGATTAACTCTTCCCCATTTCCTGTGTTTCTGGCTTCCTTCTGGCTGTACCTCACATCTAGCAGAGGTGAATGAAGAGGCAGAAAAATACAACATCTGGCTTCACTCCTCACTTTCATCTGTATTTCTTACCTATCTTTATAATAAAGAATATCTCTTAGAAGCTCTTCAAGGGCAATCATTATGTATAACCTTGTGGGGCCTTTTGAGAACCTAATGAAGGCCCTAAATCTGCATAAAAATACATTCACAATATAACATTTCCTATATAGCACCTTGTAGGGAATTCACAAGGAATACTTTATTAGATACAAGGAATTCTGGTTAAGAATCCTTACTAGAGGGCTGGGATGTAGCTCAGTGGCAAAGCGCTTGCCTAGAAAGTGCAACATCCTGGGTTCGATCCCCAGTACCAAAAAAAAAAAGACAAAAAAAAAAGAATCCTTACTAGAGACTTAATTGAGTGACTAATTTAATTTAATTGGGAAAGTTGTTTAATTCTTTATGCCTCAGTTTCCTCATGTGATAGTAGCCACTTCATCCTTGTCATGAGGATTAAATGCAGTCATTCATCTCCCTTATAACCGTGTCCAACAAATGGTGGATGTCCAACGAATATCTCTTCTGTGATGACTCATAGTGGCAGTTGAGAATGTTTCACTCACCAAAGAGGAAGTGGACACTGATCCAACTCAGAGAAAGATGGCAGTCAGTGGGACTAGAGGGCAGTGTTTCAAGGTTCATTCCATTGAAGCAGTGGGGGAAGGGCATGTTCATGTGTATGCCCTTTGCATGTACTCTATCATCATTATCTTCACTCCGTATACAAGCAGCCTGAGACTCTGAAAGGTTAAGTGACTAACCCAAAGTCACACAGCCAACTGGGTAGTGGAACAAAGTATCAAAATCAGATCTGGTTCCTCAAACTTATTATTCATTCTGTCTGGTGAAGGATGAGTGGTCAGAAAAGAGCTGAGCACAAGGAGCCATGGAGAGTAGTGAACCCTTCTTGGGGGAGTCTGAGGCCCCCCCCTTTCCAGGGCTACTGTACAGACAGGCTGGCTTTCTCCTGGTAGGATGACCACACATGCCTTTTCCACTCAGTGACCTTCTAGAAGCTGCTGTTGAAAATGGGAGTATAGTCATTGCCAAACTCTTTGGCCTTGACCTCTCCACCTTCCACCTGCTCCTGCAGGTGAGGAAAGTCAGGGGAGGTTTCTGGAACAGCCTCATTTACTTCTTCTCCAGAGTCTACGCTCCAGGCTTTTGCCCCCAACCCAGCCTTGGAAAGCTTCCAAACTTCCTTCATGTGTCTTGTTATCGCCTCCCTGGTACCTTCCTTCCTTTCCCATTGTGGATCACAATGTCTGGTCCATATATTGGGGTGTGGGGAAGGAGAAGGAGTAAATTTCCAGGAATTGTTTCAAAGCGGCTACAACTGCTGCTTGGAGAAAAACTGTGTGTCCTCCCCAGCTGGCAAAGAGACTACCCCCAGTCCCTTCCTCCCCTTCCTCACACTCTCCCCCCCCTCTTTTCAGCTGCCCTCCACCCCACAAAAGAAGGTCATACTAAAAATGCAAAGTTCTCACTTACTGCTTCCTGTGGGAGCACTTTCCCTCTGAGGATCTGCCAGGAGGAGCCACCATGACTTCCGGTGCTGCAGATGCGTGGTGGGTGTTGGGCACAGGCAGGGGCTACAGTGAGCAGAGATGAGGCAGATGAAGGAGGATATCAAAGTAAGCCACACTTCACATTGTCATAGCTCATGATAAAAATGTCTTGATCTAGAAATGATCTCATAGGTGAAAGTATGGTTTAAGGCAACTGCAAAATGAAGCAAGGTTCCTGTGGCTCACATCAGTAATCCTAGCTACTTCATAGACTGAAATCTGAGGATTGTGGTATAAAGTCAGTCTGGGCAAGAAAGTCTATGAGACTCCTACCTCCAATTAACCACCAAAAAAGATAGAGGTGATCACTGGGTGCTGGTGGCTCTTGCCTGTAATCCTAGCTACTTAGGAGGCTGAGATCTGAGGATAGCAGTTTGAAGCCCGCTCAGGCAGGAAGGTCTGTGAAACACTTATCTCTACTAAATTACCAAAAAAAAAAAAAAAAAAAAAAGCAGAGGTCGAGCTGTAGTAGAGTGTTAGCCTTGAGCACCAAAGCCCAGGAAGAGTGTCCAGGCCCAGAGTTGAAGTCCCAAGACTGGAAAAAAAGTCAGAAGCGAAGTTGTGTGACTCAAGTGGTATAGCACTGGCCTTGTGCAAAAAAGTTCAAGGACAGTGCCCAGACCCTGAGTTCAAGGTCCAGGATTGGTGCTTGCATACATATAAGCTACACTACAAATTAAAAGACTTCCCTTCTGTGAAGATGGATGGGGTTACTGGTTTCATAACTATATGAATGCACTTAAGGCCGCTGCATTGTATCCCATAAAATAGTTAAAATGGTGCTATTTGTATATTTTTATCACAAAAAGGTTAACTCAAGCACCATTAGCTCATACCTCTAGTCTCAGCTACTTGGGAGGTTACAAATAGGATAGTGGTTTGAGGACATCTTACAGGCAGAAAAATTTGTGAGACCCATTCATAGCTTATAACTGGTGATATTAGCCTGTCACCCCAAACTATGTGGCAGACAAATTGGGAGATCACATTTACAGACCAGACTGGGCAGAAAAGTCCTTAAGACTTCATCTCAATGAAGGGAACTGAACATGGTGATATCCTCCTGTCATTCCAGCTACAGGAAGCCTAAAATAGGGATATTTCAGTTCAGGCCGGAACCTGTCTGAGAAGTGCAGCCTTACCTCAAAAATAATCATCACAAAAAAGGACTAGAGATGTGGTTTAGTGGTGGACTGCCTTCCTTGCAAGCACAAGGCCCTGAGTTGAAACCCTAGTACTATGCCAAAAATTCATTTGCAAACTTGAAAGAATCCCTCTGTTCAGTAGATACACAAAATGTGTATCTACTCTGCCACAAAAGGAAACGAAGTACAGACACATGCTACAAGGTGGATAAGAAACATTAACTGCCCGGAGGAGATGAAGCCATGGAGATGGAAGGCAGGCTGGTGGTTGCCAGCTCTCAGCCATCCTCAAGATCAGGCCCTCCAGGGTCATGGGCCTGGGAAGGGCCACACTCGGTGTCCCACACATGCAAGAGGTGCCACAGGGCTCCACATGCTGTGCACCCTAGACTTACCTGAGCTAAGCTGCTCCATCAAGGGCACTGTGGAGGACAACTAGGTTAAAAAGGCAGGCATGCGCTGGGCATCAGTGTAATCCCAGTTACTCAGGAGGCTGAGATCTGAAGGTCATGATTTAAAGCCAGCCCCAGGGGCTGGGAAGGTGGCTCAGTGGTAGAGCGCTTGCCTTGCATGCCTGAGGCCCTGGGTTCGATTCCTCAGCACCACATAAGCAAAAAGAAAAACGCCGGAAGTGGCGCTGTGGCTCAAGTAGTAGAGTGCTAGCCTTGAGCTGAAGAGCTGAGGGACAGCACCCAGGCCCAGAGTTCAGGCCTCACGACCAGACACCCCCCCCCCCAAAAAAAAAGCCAGCCCCAGCAGGAAAGCCAATGAGACGCTTAAATCCAATTAACCACCGAAAAGCCAGAAGTGGAGTTGTGGCTCAAAGTGGTAGAACACTAGCTTTGAGTAAAAGAGCTCAGCACCCAGGCTCAGTTCAAGCCCCACAACCAACAACAAACAACAACAAAAATAGTGGTTGCCGGGCTGGGAAGGTGGCTCAGTGGTAGAGTGCTTGCCTTGCATGCATGAGGCCCTGGGTTCGATTCCTCAGCACCACATAAGCAGAAAAAGTCATTAAAAAAACAAAAATAAATAAATAAAAATCACTTAAATACATTCAAAGAAAATATTTAAGACAATAATAAATGGAGGAGGATAAAGAAATGAGGTGTTTTTTAAAAAAAAATAGTGGTTGCCAAGGGCTAGAAATGGGTACAGGATTTTCTTTAGAGTAATGAAAATATTCAGGGCGTAGGCAGAAGTGAGAGATTCATGATATGATGACTGTACTAAATGCCAGGGAATTATATACTTTGAGGTGGCTTTGTTAGGAGAATCCAGCTCGAGTAAATCTATCAACATACCCTTAGTCCAGCATCCCAGGTCCAAGTGGCTCTACCACATGCAGGGGCTTGTGCAGGACAGGTGAATCACTGGATCCCAAAGAGTATGAAGGAGCCTATCCTCACTCCCACAAAGAAACTTTCTGAGGGTCTATGGGCTAACATGCTGGAGAATCCAGCAGTTCAGCTCACAGAAGCCATGAAAGGAAGAGAAGTCTGGTCCCTTTCTGAGTTGCCATCCCATCTAGCCACATACCACACCTTCCCATGGAGATTTAAGATTTCTCCTCTCTCTTCCCTGCCATCCTGGAATCTCCCTGAAGCTGAGGACTGCCCCCCCCCCGCCCCCTACTCCCTCCCACATTCAGACTCTCCTCATAGTCTCCCCGTTGGTCACAAAATGAAGTGGGAGAGTTGGAAATCCTTTTTTGGGGGGGGAAGAGAGTGTCCAGTTGTGGGGCTTGAACTCTGGGCCTGGGCGCTGTCCCTCAGCTCTTCAGCCCAAGGCTAGTACACTACCACTTGAGCCGTAGCACCACTTCCGGCTTTTTTTTTCTGCTTATGTGGTGCTGAGGAATCGAACCCAGGGCCTCAGGCATGCAAGGCAAGCGCTCTACCACTGAGCCACCTTCCCAGCCCCAAGCTGGAAATCTTATTAGGGGAGGTAAGGATCAGTAGGGGTCAGTAGGTGGTGAATGTGAACCAGTAAGGATGCTAGTGTTATTAGGCTGAGTATGGTAAGTCATTTCTATAATCTCAGCTACTCAGGAGGTAAAGATCAGGAGAACTGTGGTTCAGCCTGTCATCCCAGCTTTGCAGGAGACCTGTAGGTATGAGAATTGATGTTTGAGGGCCAGCCTAGCTCAGGTCTCACAAACTTGAGACCTTACCTGAAAAATAACTAAAGCAAAAAGGGCTGGAAGTATGACTCAAGTAGTAAAGTGCCTACCTAGCAAGCCTGAGGCTAAGTTCAAACCCCAGTACTTCCCCCAACCAAAAGAGCCTAATTTTCAAGTTAGTATTTAGCTCCAACCTCATCCTCAAGTTCTATTGTGTAGGAGTCTAGCTAAATGGGGGAGTGGGGAGAAAGCAAGTTATGCATTGGGTAAGATGTTGGCCTCCATGGCTGTCCCTGTGCTGAATACTTAGTGCTGAATACTTTGCCTTGATGGCTCATTTAAACCTTACAACCTCCCTCTTAGCAGATACTATAGGATCTTCACTTTGCAAAGGCTTCAAGAGGCCATTCGTGCAGCTGGTGAGTGATGGATCTGGGCTTTAATGCTTGCATGCTTACAACCAGTGCCACTCCCCCTGCTCCCCCCCCCCCCATTTCCACCCCCCGCCCCCTCCGCTGCCCTTTGCTGGGTCTTTTGCTGAGACATCCCCTTCTAGCTGGATTGGGAGAATGCAGGAAAAATCCCAGCCTTCTCCTCCACCTCTCAGCCAGTAACAGCTTCTCTACTTCCCGGATGAAGGGCGGCCCCTGAAGCCAGCAGCAAAGCCAATCCTTCCCCCCCCCCCCCAAAAGCCACAGCCCCTGAAGTCTCCTGGCAGCTAACAGCCCTGACTTACAGGACCTGCCAGAGGAGAAGTGCTCCCAAGGGAGATTCAGGTAAGTGTCACCTTTTCCTGGGAGAGATGGCAGGGCATCAGGGTTTGGAGACAAATGGCTTTCCTGCGTAGGATCCTGAGATTTTTCCCAGCGGCAAATTGTGTGTGTGTGTGTGTGTGTGTGTGTGTGTGTGTGTAAATAGCAAGACAAGACAAAGCAGGGACCCTGCACGTAGCCCTGCTCCAAAAGCATGCCCAGGAGTAAAGCACTCACGCAAACTGCTTAGCAACACTTGGGCTGAAAGTGGGGGTAAAACTGGCTGGAGCTAGGTGCAAACAGTCCAGATCTCTGCCAGCACTGAAGAGACAGTGTCTCTGCTCAGTGTGCATGTTAAACATTCTCTTTTCATCTCTTTAGCCCCAGAATCTTCCATCTCCCCTTCACCTCCAAGTTCTTGGGCTGTTTTCCCTTTTCTTCCAACCTTCCCTTCTTCCCAGCAGGTGTTAGCTGGTCCCCATGTCAGTCAACCTCAGCTCTGGGCCGGGCCCCTCGGAGGGTCCCACTCCAGGGCCCCACCATGACTTGGGAGAGATCCACAACTGGACTGAGCTGCTGAATTTTCTCAATCATACGTTGTCTGAGTGCCACGTGGATCTCAACGAGAACATCAAGCGGGTGGTCCTCTTTGTCCTCTACTTGGCCATCTTTGTGGTGGGGCTGGTGGAGAACCTCTTGGTGATATGTGTCAACTGGCGCCACTCGGGCCAGACAGGGCTGCTAAACCTCTACATTTTCAATATGGCAGTGGCAGACCTGTGCATCATCCTGTCCCTGCCCGTGTGGATGTTGGAGGTCACCCTGGACTACACCTGGCTCTGGGGCAGCTTTTTCTGCCGCTTCACGAATTACTTCTACCTTGCCAATATGTACAGCAGCATCTTCTTCCTCATGTGCCTTAGCGTGGACCGCTATGTCACTGTCACCTGTCACTCTCCCATCTGGCAGTGCCATCAGCATCGAATACGACGGGCTGTGTGTGCAGGTGTCTGGTTCCTTGCAGCCGTTATGCCACTGCCAGAGGTGGTACACATCCAGTTGTTGGAGGGCTCTGAGCCCATATGCATCTTTCTGCCTCTGGAGACATACAACACCTGGACTCAGGTGGTATCCCTGTCCACCACCATCCTGGGCTTCCTGCTGCCTTTCCCTTTCATCGCCATCTTCAATGTGCTCCTGGCCTGCCGGCTTCGGAGACAAGGCCAGTCTGAAGGCTGGCGCTACAGCCTGCTGGTGTGTGGCTACATCACCGTCTTTGTCATCTGCTGGCTGCCCTACCACGTGACTCTGCTAATGCTCACTGTGCAAGGGATCTACACCTCCCTCCCTTGCTACCTGGCCCACCTGCTCTACTTCTACTATGACATCATCGACTGTTTCGCCATGCTGCACTGCGTCGCCAACCCCATCCTGTACAACTTTCTCAGCCCTGCTTTCCGAAGCCGGCTTCGGAGCGTGGTGGTCCATTACCTGCCTAAAGACCAGGCCAGGGCAGGGGCACAGGCTTCCTCCTCCTCCTCCACGCAGCACTCCATCGTCATCACCAAGGAAGGCAGTCCGCTCACCCTAGCAAACGCCCACCCTCTCCCCAACCCAAACTGCCATATGTCCTCTGGGCCCCCAACTCTGGACTCTGCCATCCCATAGCCAGCTGAGATCAGTTCCAGGCTGTTTGGATCCAGAAAGCAGAAGGAAGGGGAAGTGAGACTTGATTTGCCAGGCAGTATCAGAGATAGAGAACCTTGATTGAACTTTTAATTACATGAAAATCTGAATTTAAAATTATATTTTAAAATACAGAGGTGGGGAGAGGGAGAGGGTGGAATGCAAAGAAAAACAAGTCCTTCCTTGGTGATGTACTATTTGCTTGGGTTTTTATGTCGGGGGCTGGGCAGGGAGCGGGGAAGCAAAATAAATAATAGAGACAGCCATGGTTCTGGATTTCTGAGACCTCTTCACACTCAGCTGGACTGGGGAAGGCAGCTTAGGCTGAAGGGATGCGCTGCAGAGTGAACTAGATGTCCTCATTTCATAAATCACCCTAGCCGGAAAGAGTGAGTCCCACAGGAACCTCACAAAACTTTCCTTTTGTGTTTGTGTGCTTGTTGATCTATCTCCCTGCGCAGTTGTGAGGACAAGAGGCCAGAGGCCAAGGAACCCGGAGGCCTCACAAGGCCACTCCCTGCCAGTGCATCCTCAGTGCACCGATAAATGGAGGGGGTGGGGCAAAGCTGGGGCTCAGACACCCTGGCAGCTGGGTCAGCAGGATGGTCTCTTCACCCTTGACATCCAGGAAACACGGCTCCATTTCCTTGCTGATACCCTTCCTCTCCCCTTGTCCATCCTGCTCTCTACCCCTTACCACCCCCACTCCTACCCCCAAGCACAGGCAAGCTGTGTTCCTCACAGTGAACCTCCTCACCTCCAAAACTAGGACACACTATTTTTTTTTCTTTTAATGGTACTAGAGTTTGACGTTGGGACCATGACTTGCTCAGCAGGTACTCTCACTACTAGAGCCAACCCTGTCCTTTTTGCTGTAGGTTATTTTTCTCTCCCCTTTCTCTCTTTACTTTCTTTTCTCTCTCCCTCCCTCCCTCTCTCTCCTTTCCTTTCTTTTTCTCCCCTTCCCCACTTTTTTGGGGGGCTTGTTCCTTAGGGTCGAACTCACAACTTGCACTCTTGCTTGGATTTTTTGTACTGGTCCTAGAGCTCAAATTTAGACCCTGCACACTGTCTCTGAGCACCCTACCATGAGTCACAGCTCCACTTCTAGGTTTTTGGAGGGACAGTTTATTGAAGAAAAAAAAAACTCTTGTGGACTTTTCTGTCTGGGCTGGCATCGAACCTCATTCTTCAGATTTCAGCATTCTGAGGAGCTGGTGCTCTACCACTTGAGTGATATCCAGTTCCTAGGTTATTTTTCACATAGGGTTTTGTTTTCTACCTGTGGCCTAGCTTCTGTCTTTATAGCTAGAATTACAGACATGAATCATTGCTCACATCTTGCTTGAGATAAGTTTCATTTTTTGCCCAGTCTGGCCTTGAACCTCAGTCTTCCCCATTATAGGTGTAAGCTACTATGCCTGGCCTAAGACACCATGTATTAAAGAGATAGGGCTCTCAGAAATCCCTCTGCCACCCTCCTCCCTTGCTTCTCTCTCCAGATCATAGGGAAATACCAGGGGCATTCATTCTGGAAGGCAACCTAGGGAAAGGCAGCAACAGGAACCAAGAGTAGCCCTATTCCTCTGCCTTTGTCCCCTGCTCTATGACGGGAAAAGCCAAAGTGGAAATTTCTGATTTCGGTCACAGGCCAGAGCTGTGGCACTAAATCAGTTCTCCTTCACCAAGTATCTTCACCAAGATTTTTCTGTCTACCAATTTCTGTTTCTTAATATAAAACAGGGCTGGGAAGGTGGCTCAGTGGTAGAGCGCTTGCCTCGCATGCATGAGGCCATGGGTTTGATTCTTTAGCACCACATAAGCAAAAAGAAAAAAGCCGGAAGTGGCGCTGTGGCTCAAGTGGTAGAGTGCTAGCCTTGAGCTGAAGAGCTGAGGGACAGCGCCCAGGCCCAGAGTTCAAGCCCCATGACCGGACCCCCCCCAAAAAAACCAAACAAATAAAACAGATGGGAGAGAGGTTCCTCTTGTAGGTACATTCATCAGTCTGGAAAACTAGCACCAGGCACATGAAGAGAAGAATCTGTCATGAAAGCCTAAGAACAGGTGCTAGTTTCCAGTTCTACATACTTGGCCTTTGTAGTCCTGCTTGCACAGAGCAGAGGGCTTGCAGGTGTAATTGCTGACCTCTCCACGGTCCCTCGTCCCCAGTCCTGCTCAGGAACCGTGTGCCTGCAACGATACACTGGAACAACCACTCACTTGCAGGAAGTCTGCTTTTAGAAATTTTAGCCTGCACTTGACAGGTTCATGAAAAACTCACTGCAAACCCAGGGCTTTGTCAGGGTTACAGAGGGAAAGCCAGTGTCTACCATCTCCTCCTGCTAATTGGGTCCAAACCTGACAGCTGCTGAAGCTTTTCTTTTGGTCAGTCTTGGGGCTTCAACTCAGGGCCTGAGTACGGTCCCTGAGCTTTTCTGCTCGAGGCTAGCACTCTACTACTTTGAGCCACAGCTCCACTTCTGGTTTCCTCATAGTTAATTGGAGAGAAGTCTGTGAGACTTTCCTGCCCTGGTAGGCGTCGAAACAGGATTGTCAGATCTCAGCCTCCCAAGCAGCTAGATTTCAGGCATAAGCCACCAGTGCCCCGCTGAAGAATTGAGGCTTATTGAACCACAGTTCTGGGTTGTGGCTGGGGGCTATAGTGAGGGCTCACCCTAACAATGCAGACACTGCACCAGAAAGACATTCTTCCCTTGTCCCCATTTAGCAAACCAAAGTTTGATGTCCTATTACCACATTCCCCGACTTGACAGCTTTCTGAAGGAAACCTGTTTCCATTTGTTACATCCCCGATCACCACAGAGGCCACTTCCCCAGGCCCAGTTATCACCCTTAGTCTTTCCGCCCACAAAAGAGAGGGAACTGGCTATGCTGACTACAAGCCTTTCCTGAGCTGGGCCTAGGCTGTGTGCTCTGTGAGACGGAGCAGAGGTCTGTCTCTCTGTGGGAACACCCTATCAGCATGTAACCTTTGCCACTTCCCTGACTGCTCTTTTCCTCACTTTGTCTCCCCATCTGTCTCCTCCAAAGGCACACAGCTCCCAATAGCATAAATAATTATAGCAAGATATGTGGCCAAATCCCTCACATAATGACTTGGGGCCAAGTGGACATGGCAAAAGTCCATGCTCCCTTCTCTGACAGAAGACCCCTCAGGAATGTCCCCTGCAAAAGAACTTAATTTCCCACTAGCATCCTGTCAACAAGTGGGGGGGGGGGGGGAGGAGTGGGGGAAGAGGGGAATTCCAGCTACAGGAAAGGAGAATGAGTCTATGAAAGAATCCTGGCATCTTCTAAAAGAAAGATGAGCCAGGTGTCCCTGAACTCAAGCTATGAATGGATTCACAGCCCACAGGAAGACAATTCCCATTTCAAATTTCTTCTTGTTTTTATTATTCTAAATAAAAAACACACTTTGTGCTGAACAATGGAATATAAAAGAATCAGATGTACAACGATTTTAGACATCTACTATTCAGGGGGAAAAAGTTTACAAAATATACAAAACTTTACAGCAATAGATAGTAAACACTTAAATATTAGGAGGTCAGTACTTCTTAATTTAATGGAAGGAGTTGACAATAACTCTTCTGGGTTTCCTAAGAGACTTTTAACTATTAGGAGTGGGTGGACTGGACAGGGGAGGGTGTTAATGAAACATCAAAACCGAAAGTCTCCTTTTCATTCTGATGTGGCATTTAATAGAGTCACATTGAAAGTAACGTTTCATAGCCTGTCTCCTGGCCCACCACAGGATGCAGGAGAAAGGACCCGTGGGCACTCCTGATGGGCACACCCTGCTCCACACAGCCCACTTCCATGCCAACTCATCAGTGTTCATCTAGAAAGGTTTCAATTCAATTTCAAAGTTGAGTAGTCTGGGTTGGGGAGTGGAGTGGGGGGTGGGGGGTAAGGGGGGGACAGGACACAGCAGGAAGCCAGAAGAGGAAGAAAATTATCAGTAGCAAAAGCCTGACTGGGAAAAAGATACTTAAGCCCAAATGTTTGTTCTGGAGACAAAGGATTGCAGATAGATAGAAGAATGAAAAGTAACTTATATCCATTTCCTGGATCTTAGCGATTATCTGGTCCTTGCTCCCCACCTCACCTCCTTCCTTCCTGTAGGGACTCTATGGAGTCTTCAATTTTAGGACCAAATATTAAGGATCAGCAGAGCACCCACATGCCAGGGCACTGAGCCCTTCCAGCCAGAGAACTTGCTGTTTTGTCAGTCATGGGGCTTGAATTTAGGGCCTGGGTGCTGTCCCTGAGCTCTTTTGCTCAAGGCTAGTGGTCTATCATTTTGAGCCACCCTTCCGGTTTTCTGGTGGTTAATTGGAGATAAGCCTCAAGGTGGACTTTCTTGCCCGGGCTGGCTTTGAACCACGATCCTCAGATCTCAGCCTGCTGAGTAGCTAGGATTATAGGGGTGAGTCACCAGCACTCGGGGCACAAGAACCTGCTTTTTATCCAAGTCTCAGACAAGTGTTACAGTTTCCTTACACATGGGAGTGCCCCAAGTTTGGTTTAATGCTGTACAATTGCCATCTTGAAATTCCTGACAGCTGTGAACAAGAATGTTCTACAGTTATACAGCTGGCCCTGAGGATGAAACACGAAGGGAAAACAGGTGAAGCACTATTTGACCACTCAACGGTCCAACAACTCCCCAGCAGGACAGTGCTCAACTGGCCTCCAGGAGAGAGGAAGGGAAAAAAAAATCAAACAGCCATTAGGTTGGCAAATGAAAAACAAAACAACCTTCCACCAGATGCCCTCTACAATATAGTGTTTCAAGTAAAACAACTCAGCAAACAGTGAACTAGAAGCAGAGAAAGCAAACAATCTCACAAGGATACAGGGTTCAGCTGTGAATACGGGGGTGCCCAGAGGGGCAGGGTTTGGTCAAGGAGCCTCAGGAACTACAGATCCTGTTTGCTACATGTCTGACTGAGACCAACTGGGCCTCCCTGATCAACCACTTAGGCTCAAGCAGAATCAGGGAGTACAGCTTTTTGTTTAGTGTTTCAAGGGCAAAGATTCAAGGATCTGCTTTTTGGTTTGCTGATTGAGAAGGGAAAACTTCACAGTTTCAGTTAAGTATACGGACCACCTAGCATCCTTTATGTCCTGCTAAGGAAAAGGGGCTCTCCAGCATGTTTATTCACTCTCATACGGACTGGGTTCTTGTAAGTACCACTCCTCTCAAGCTGACCATTCAACAGCTGAGCCTCATCAACTGTCTGGGAGGATCCCTTAGGCTTGAAAAGCATGCAGTCTGTTCATTCCCTTTTTAAATTCTTGTTTTTTTTTGTGTGTGTGCGTGCGCGTGCGTGCGCACCCGCGCATATGCAAGCGTACCAGTTCTGGGACCTAGATGTTGTCCCTTAGCTATTTTGCTCAAGGCTAACACTACCACTTAACCTGTAGTTCCACTTTCAGCTTGTTTCATGGTTAAGGTATGTCACACAGACTTTCCTGCCTGGGCTGGCTTTGAACAATGATCCTCTTTTCTCAGCCTGAGTAGCTAGGATTATAGATGTGAGCCACCAGTGCCCTGCCTCTCTTCTTAAATTCTTACTGGTCAGTGTGACAGGAATGAGAAATTAGCACTGATTTCCTGACAAGATTATCCCCAATGAAAAGTAGCCACTGTACAAGTCTTGTCATTTGATAGGGGACTAAAGAGCCCACCAGGAATGGAACTTTGGTTTGCCTGTGTGTCTTAATTGAGGCAAAGACAGGAGGCCTCCTATGTTTAGGATAAGAAGCTGAAAAGAGACACTTCCTGTGGCTTGATCCTCTCAACTTCCATCACAGGATGAAGGCAGGACACAACTTCATATATGGAGGTGGAGTTCAGTTGTGAATATGGGGAATACCCAAAGAGGTGGGGTTTAGCCAGTGAGCCTCATGAGCAGTCTAGAAATTTAACAGGCCCCAACCTTTCAAAACTTACAGCTGTTGCCTTAAAGGGCTACCAGATTTATTCTGCTACAGGCTAATGTGGAGAAAAGATAACTTACTTGCTTAAAAGATTTGACTCATTCTCCCCATAGGTCCTCCCCTGTGCCTCAAATCTGTGGTGAGGATCGGCCCGTGGAGTATGACTACTTGCTGGGGAGAAACTCGTTTTCCTAAAGTTTCTTATCCAAAAGAGATGCTGGGCGATATGTATACAAAAACAAAAAAATAAATAAATATCCAAAAAGGCTTTGTGAATTAATCAAAACCACTTGCTTGTAACTGAGCCCCAGGGTGCTGCAGTGACAGGGCTGAGGCTAGGGACTCCCAGAGCTCACCTGAGCAGGGTGAGGTAGTATGAGCTACTGAGGTGACACTTGTAAGTATGCAAGATTGAGGCCCTCTCCCTCTCCAGCCTTCTTTGGGTGAGATCCCTTCAAAGACCAAATAAGAATGCAGCCAAACAGCCATGTGGACTGGGCCACCTAGGGAAGGAAGGCCTAAACCAGCTGCCATCCAACAGCACCCCCTGGAGGTTAAGCAATGACAGACCAGGATGGATTCCAGCAGGTCAAAGGTGAGCTGCCAAAGCTCCCACTTAGCACAAAGTAAACAATAGGTTACCAGCCTAGGATAGTTGGAAGCTGGGATGGTCAGAATGCATACCCTGCTACACTTTTGGGGTTACTCAGGCCCTTTCATCCTAAAGGGCTCTCAGTCTACCACTCCACCACCTCACAGGGTCTTCATACCCACACTACAGGCCAAACCCTTCTGGGTGGGAGACTGGATGTAAATTAAGGCAAGGCTGCTATTTGTCAGAGTCCTCCCCTCCACTTCCACTAGGAAATTCAAGGTCACTGAAGGAGGCCAGAAAGGACAGATGACCGTATCAGAGTGGCTCCCTGTCTTTCAGGGAAGGCCTGATGCCCTGGGCCTTCACTCCACAATATTGTTTCTTTGGAAATGAGAAAGCGGAAGCCTCTTCTGTCCATCCAGGTGATCCCATCTGGTGGCACTACAAGACACCCCTTCTGCCAGCAAGGAATGATCCAAAGCTTTCTATCCTGAACAGGGAGCTTGGTCCTTAGTTTGGCTCGAGATGCCCAAAGATTTTCACAGTCCAGTCAGCCCTGGAACAAGCAGGTCCCCTCCATCCCTGATAACCTTTTCCCTGCTGAATGAGGGCTGGCACTAGAACCCGGCACTGAGGTGAAGTGCCCTGCTGGCCAGTCCTTTTGGAGAGACCACAATCCCCAAATCTTTCTCATCGCTGGTTATCCCATCAGAGATCTGGCGGTAACACCCACAGTGAAAACCTCTTCGCCTCCTCTATCCAGTGAGGCTGTTGGTTGGATTCTTAGCAGCATAAAACCTATCCGTAAACTAAAACTAGAGAGGCTGGGGAAGGGATCTAGTTGATGTGCTTCGACTAGATCCCCAAACCAGCCTTGAGAGAATCAAAAACACAGCCCTTTGTGGGCAAGAACAGGTATGGAGGTAAACGTGATAGGGCCATTGCTGCTCAGGAACAGTAACAGCTTATGTGCTATTTCTTCTTTCTTCTTCAAACACAACACAGAAGAGAAATCCTAGCAAGGCAAAACTGTAGCTTCAGCTGGGGAGGGACCAACAGCCTCTAGAAAAATCACCATTCTGGCTGCCGCCTGGGAGCTCCCACTGGCTCTGCTGGGACTCAGTCAGGTGTCCGGGTTCTTTTCGGCCTCTTTGGAATGGATGATGTACATGAAGGTCTGCTCAATGGTGAAGTCAGGCGGGAGGCTGCCTTTGTGCACCCCGACATGTTTGCTCATGAGGTTAAGGGTAGAGCTGTAGTGGCCACACACCGTGCAGCGGTACATGAGTGCCCCTGAGTGTGTCTTGAGGTGGCACTTGATAGTGGAGCGGCCGCGGAAGAATTTGTGGCATACCTTACACTGGTAGGGTTTCTCCCCTGTGTGGATCCGCCGGTGATAGTTGAACTCGCTTGTGTGGGCAAACCTTTTGCCACAGACCTTGCAGCTGTACTTGCTGTTCCCGGGCTGGCCCTGCAGAGCCAGCTCCTCACTCAGAAACTCCTCCACTGGCAGCTTCCGCTTCTGCAGGGCCGGATGCTGCAGCCCCAAGCCAGGCCTCGAGTCGAGGCTGCTGTTACACTTGTGCTGGCTGACGTGGTAGCGGTAGGCAGCCTCAGACCTGAAGCTCTGGCTGCACAGGTGGCAGCGGAAGAGGGCATCTTCCAGGCTTTGGTGCACAGCCACGTGCTTCTCCAGGAGATGCCAGTCCACAAAGCTGCTGGCACAGACAGAGCAGGAGAAGACTGAGATGCCCAGATGAGACAGCGTGTGCCACATGAGGCTACACAGGTTGAGGTGGCGCTGGTCGCAGACGCTGCACGCCTGGCCTTTCAAGTTCAGATGGTCCAGGATGTGGCCCCGGACCACGTGGAAATCTTTGGCCAATGCTTTCCCACAGGCAGCACATTTCAACTCTGGGGAGGCTGCCCCTGAAAAGATACCTAGTTTCCCAGGCAGGGGCTCATTGGGGTGGACAATGATGTTGTTCTCGAATATTCCATCCCTTCGGTGAAGGGTTAGCTGCCACTGGGTAAAGAACTTGGTTTCACACATGTCGCAGGAGAAGAGGAAAATGCCAATGTGGGACAGGACGTGGGTCACCCGGGAGTTTCGGTCCTGGAAGTGGGTCTCACACACTTTGCAGTTGCCTGTCAGCAGATCCACGTGGTCCCGAGCATGCTGCCGGATCAGCTGAATGTTGGGCTCTAGAACTTTCTTACACACCTGACAGGGCATGGCCTTATTTTCCCGGTTGTCATTTTCGCCAAAAGTCAGCTCGTCCTCACTGTCATCACTTAGCTCAATCACCTCCTCAGCTGTCCCGATCTCCTCAGTGGGGTCTTCAAACTGCAGATCATCGTCCCCCAGATCCTCCAGCTGGAGCTCATCCATCTGCCCAAAGCCTGGCTCTTTGGAGTGGTCACTATTGCTCAGACAGGAGTTGGTCCCAGTGGTAATGTCTATTGCATTGTCAGGAGTAAAGAAGCTGTTTTTATTGAAGTCTCCATTGCTCTGAACTTTGTATGGCTGGTAAGAGCTGGTACTGGTCTGGATGCCCGCATTGACAGTGCCTAGGCCTGGCTGGGTCATAAGAGGCACAGACGTGAACGGGGCGGGGGCGTCGTGGTCTTCTGTCTTTGGCGGCAGAGGTGGCTGCGGCAGAGGCTGGCTATGGTGATTAGGATCACTGGCAACATTCCTCTCCTCCTCTTTGTAGCTTCCTCCAGTATCAGCGGACAACACATAGTGTCTGTCAGGACCCAGGTGTTCCCCACCACCCCGGAGTTCTCCAAGGGGATGGGTGGGATCTGCTGCGGGACAAGTCAGACTACTATACTGGCTGTCACTGGTGTTGCTCAGGGGTTTGGTCACAGCCGTGCTCTCCAGGTCAGGAAAGGTGGAATGACAGGCCTGAAGCAGGTCCTCCATGCCCAGCCGCTCAGCTACCTCATAGATGACCCCAACATTGATAAGGTCTGTGAAGAGCTCTGAGGTGTAGACAAAGCTGAGAATCTTCTCAAAGTTGGCAGGAGTTATGAAGTCTACCACATAGGTCCTGGCGGCATCAAGCCCAGTATTCAGGAAGAGGTTCTGGAAGTAGCCAGCCGCACAGGCCAGCACGGCCTTGTGGGCCGGGAAAGAGCGGCTCCCCACCACAATGGTGACATCACACATGGTCTCCGAGAGCCGGCACTTGTTGAGTTCCTTCAGCAGGTTGTTGGGGTGGTTGGTGCTTTGCAGTTTGATCCTCATGCCCATCTTAGCAGCTCCTGTACAGTTGCCTCCTTACCAGCACAGTTAATCTGCAGATAGCAAGAGCAAAAGGTGGGTGACCAAACACATCCCTGCAAGACAAGAACACTGCAGGACAATATGCTGTCATCTGGAATGGGGCCAGGCCCCAGGGAATGAGAATGAACAGACATGGAAGCTGTTCCATGTTGCTGAGGCTAAAGACAGCAACAATGGAGAGACAGTGACCCGTCCCCCTGCATAAACTCATAGTTATATGACAAGACCCAGAAGGAGGCCAGGCACTTGGTGGCTCATGCTTATAACCCTAGCTACTTAGGAAGCTGAAATCTGAGGGTAGAAGTTTGAAGTCAGGTCAGGCAGACAAATCTGTGAGACCCATATCTCCAATTAACCAGCTCTAGAAGTGGAGCTGTGGCTCAAGTGCTAAAGCATCAGCTTTGAGTAAGGGACAATGCTTAGGTCCTGAGTTCAAGCTCCAGTACCAGCACAAATAACATACACCCAAATGCATGCACACACCAGAAGGAGTGAAAAACAATCTGATTAGTTTGGTATAAAAGCTAGGAAGAGCTTGGGTGTGGTGGTACACTTTTGTAATCTCAATGCTTAGGGAGGTGGGTCTGGAGTTCAAAGACAGCCTGGGCTACACAAAGGAGATTGTCTCAAGAAGAGAGAGAGAGAGAGAGAGAGAGAGAGAGAGAGAGAGAGAGAGAGGTTGTAGCCTCAAGCTAGTGCCCTAGAGCCAAGCAGAAAGCATCTTACCTAATGCAATCCTAGATTTCACTGCCTCACTGTGTCTTCTCATATTAATTTCCTCCTAAATACATGCTTTCCTATCTCATTGAATCTATTACTGCGATGCCAACTGACATAAATATATCTGAATCCAAATGATCAAACCTCCATTGGCTACTAAAGAAGACACATTAATCAAATGCCAATTTCTTGGTATTTATTTTGTTGGGCTGTTAGTTTTTCTAAGGAATTACTCCCTTTGAATTCTCTCCTGCAAATAACATACTTTGGTTAATACATTTGGGTATAGTTGCACACAGTCCTGTATGTGTTTACTTGTACATTTATAAATTAGTTCTAGCTTCCTGAAAGGTTAAGGGGAGAGGGTAGATGAATAAAGAGATGAAGTGAGGAGAATACAGTCACAACGTTCAATGCATGTCTTATGGAATAAAGAAATTCAAGGAGAGGAGTGCGGCTGAGAGGGATGGGAGAATGATGAAAAGGGGTGACTGATCAAGATGCATTGTGTTCATAAGCTGATCTGTAAAATGGCAATTTGTGCATCTACTTAAAGATAATAAGTTAAATAAAAAATTAAAAAATTTAACAGAAGAAACATTTGGCAGTGTCCTAAATAACCTCACACATCTGAATCCCCACTCTCCCTACCTACACAGAATGCTTGTCCCGTTGTAACCTGGACTCGTTCCCCATGCTACTTGATTACACTGTCTCAGTCTTGTGAAGTTAAGACCAAAGAAGAAAACAGAGCAAAACACAGCTGTGGTATTTAATATTACTTGGATCTGTCTTTATCTCTTCTCAGGGTCTGTGCTTAATGTTGATCTTATACCAACAAAAATCGGATCCCTCCCGAAAGCCAATCTATCACGAAGGTAGGCTCCTTCAACATCACTCTCTGCCCACCCTCCCCTCCTGCTGCTCCCAGGAAGAACGGTGAGTTGCTGGGGCTCACGCCTCGCCGAGGGCAGCCCAGACCCTCTGCATTTCACCAGATTCTACCAACAAGTCCCAACTTTTTCCGGGGCCCAGCAAGCTCGAGTATGGTTGAGTACCAGTACGCATCTCCCTGGGAGCCGCTCATCCGTGGTGGGAGGGTCAGGGCTCTGGGCAGCTTCCAAAGGGGAGGAAGGGGAGGGCGGGACATTCGGAACTTCCAAGGAGGAGCACCCCCCCCCCACCGCAACAACCAAGGGGCTCCCCTCCAAAAGGTCGGGGTCCGCCAAGGGCTGAGCATTGGATCCACCTGGGGAGAGGCGGGGGTGTCCAGGCGCCTCGGTCCCCCCCCCCCCGCCTCCAAGGGCGCGGCGGTCCCCTCGATGACCCGGGTGGGGGGGGCGGGGCGCGGCGCGGGGACCCCGGCGCGGCGGCGGGGCCGGCCGGGCGGCGCGCGGGGCGAGAGGACGGGGCCGACCCCAGGGGGGCGGGCGGGCCGTAGGGGCCCAGCGAGAGCGACCGAAAGGCCGGGCCGGGGTCGTGCCCGGCCAGGGGCCGCCCTCGGCCCGCCGCACTTACCCGGCTCCGCGGGTCCCGAGCACCATCGCCGCCGCCAGCTCCCACACAAAGGCCCCGGCCCGCCGTGCCCGGCCCGACGAGGAGGCGGCGCCGCTGGCCGCGGCCAGACTCTCCATCCGCCGCACCGCTCGCCGCGCCGGCCCGGGCCGCCCCCGCCGCCCGGCCCGCAGCGCCCCCCGCCGTCCCGGAGGAGGCAGCGCCCCCCGCCGCATGGCCGCAGCGCCCCCCGCCGCCCGGGAGGAGGCAGCGCCCCCTCACGGCGGGGCCGCGCACGAGCCCCGAGCAGGCCGAGCTGGAGCTGGTCCCCGTCCCTGTCCTGATCCTTGCACCACCTGGGATGGGCAGAGCCTGGTCCCAAGTCCAAGTCAGCTCCCCCATTCTCGCTCTGTCACGGCCCCAAGTTGCTTGGCTCACTTGTCTCTTCCACCACGGTGGGCTTCCTGGGACGCAGGGAGCCGTGGTTTTGCACGCCAATTCCTGGCACAGGTGCTAGGTGCTTAACAAAGTCTGTGTCAACGAATGAGTGAGGAGCGCTTGAGGGCTGAAACGTCCTTTTTAAAAAGGAAAAAAAGTGGGGGCTGGGAAGGTGGCTCAGTGGTAGAGTGCTTGCTTTGCATGCATGAGGCCCTGGGTTCGATTCCTCAGCACCACATAAGCAAAAAGAAAAAAAGCCGGAAGTGGCGCTGTGGCTCAAGTGGTAGAGTGCTAGCCTTGAGCTGAAGAGCTGAGGGACAGCGCCCAGGCCCAGAGTTCAGGCCCCATGATTGGACCCCCCCCCCCAAAAAAAAGGGAAAAAAAGTATTATTATAAAGGTGACATACAGAAGAATTACAGTTACGTAAGTCAGGTAGAGTACCTTTTTTTTTTGCTAGTCCTGGGACTTGAACTCAGAGCCTGGGCACTGTCCCTGAGCTGTTTTTGTTCAAGGCTAGCACTCTACCGCTTGAGCCACAGCACCACTTCCGGCTTCTTCTGTTTATGTGCTACTGAGGAATCAAACCTAGGGCTTCATGCATGCTAGACAAGCACTCTACCACTGAGCCACATTCCCAGCCCAAGAGCACATTTCTTTCTGGACAATGTCACCCCTTCCCCTCACTCCAGTTTTTCCCTCCTATCTCCATCTACAAGTTATATAGTTCATTTTCAACATAGTGTCTAGTGAGTACCATTGCTGCATTTGTTCGTGCAAACCATCCTTTTGGTAATCCACTGCCATCCCTCCTTCCTCTTCAACAGCCAGGTCTAGTCAGACACAGGATCCATTGCATCTTGGCCCCCCCTAGGCCAGTCCCTGACTCTCTACAACTCAGTCTCTCTGCCTCCATCTCCTCCCAGAGTTTGTTATCAAATGCTCCTGCTCAAGAATCGTCATCAAGCTAAAACGACCTACCCTTGCAGGCCCCTACATCACTCCCCAAGACATGTGAGGTCCCAGTTACCCACATTCTGTCTTCTAAAAAGGAAGAAGCCTTCATGTTCCAAACCCTTTCTTTTTACCCCTTCTTCCCTCTTTCTCTCTCCTCTTCACCCCTGTCCTCCCTCCCCTCCCCCCTCCCATCCCATTCTCTGCTTGAAGCTGGCCCACTACCAACACCTACCTCGGACAGGCATGTGGTAGGGTTCAGTATTTCTTTGATGGATCAATGATAAGGAGGAGCACTAGATGTTGTCAATGATCTAAGTTAGTGATGGTCACTTCTCTTTGGAAGATCATGTGTCTTCATTTCCACCCTCTCAGGACTGGTGGTACATGATATCTAAGGCAAACACTCTAGCAAATGCTGCCAAAGATGTACCATTTATTAGTAAGGAGTCACAGAAAAGGCTAAAAGACCTGTTCTTAGAGTCTGAGGGTGGGCAGTTCTACTTTGTCCTTATAGTGAAAAGGTCACTTGGAGCCTGACATGATGTTTCAGTGGCAGGCCCAGCCCCCAAGTCTGTGTGAGGTGAATGTCATACCAGCCTCCAGCCTGACTCACACAGTCATGAAGTGCATGACTTACTTGCATATATGTACAAATCTAGATAGAAAAGTAGAAATATAGTGGAAATCTTGATCAGTCTCCTTAGGCATCAACCTCTTTACAACAGGATGAGGAGGGTCTAGATCCCTTCACACATCTAAGCCCAGAAATAGGAATCTGAGAAGCATTAGACATGGTAGTGCACACATGAAATCTTAGTACTCTGGAAGTCCAAGCAGGAGATTGGTAGTTCAAGACCAGCCAGGGCTACGTAGCAAATTCATGACCAGCTTGGGCTACATAGTAAGACCCTGAGGAAAGATGGAAGGAAGGAAGGGTAGAGGGAGGGTACAGAAAATGAGGGAAAAGAAGGAAGGAAAAGGGGAGAAAAGGAAAGAGGGAAGGAGGAAGGAAGGCAGGAGGGAGGAACAGAGGGAGGGAAGAAGGGAGGGAGAGGAAAGGGAGGGAGGAAGGGAAAGAAGAGAAAAGGAGGGAAAAGAAGGAAGGGAAGGACAATGTGAGAAAGGAGAGAGAAGGAAGGAAAGGAAAGAAGGAAAAAGGAAGGGGAGGGAGGGAATCTGATTTAAAATTTATTTTTGTTTACCCTGGTACTGCAATTTTTGTCAGCCCCACCAGAGAGCAACCTTTCTGCATTTATACTCATTGTCTCACCTCCACATATATTCGTGACTTGACATGTAAGCAGACTGCACTCTTGTAGTTTTCTTGACCTCAAGAAATTCTTCAAACTGGGCTGGGAAGGTGGCTCAGTGGTAGAGCGCTTGCCTTGCATGCCTGAGGCCCTGGGTTCGATTCCTCAGCACCACATAAGCAAAAAGAAAAAAAAAGCCGGAAGTGGCACTGTGGCTCAAGTGGTAGAGCGCTAGCCTTGAGCTGAAGAGCTGAGGGACAGCGTCCAGGCCCAGAGTTCAGATCCCCATGACCAGACCCCCCCCCCCAAAAAAAAAGGCAATTCTTCAAACTCCACAAAAATGTCTATACATTTCTATATTATAGTTAGCTAATCTTGAAAAGTCAAAGTGATGTTTCACTGGAGAAGGCTCTAGGGTTTGGGATGCGGAGTGGAGTTTGACCTTTGACTGTGAAGGTGAGCATTTTCTCCTTTCCTCACCTTGCATTGTGTAAGTCCAAAGCTCTTGGAAACAGCACTTTCACTGGGGTGAAAGAACTTCAGGAAATGGACTTTGGTTCAAGACCTGCCTTGACACTGTCTCAGAAGAGCTGAATGTTGACTTTCTATAGGTGTAATTTAGGACAAAATCAAGCCCTGGCACCAGGCTAAGATTAGGGAGCTTGAAGATTTCCCAGGCTGTTTCATTGGGGTTACAGAACACCCTTGGGTCAATGGACTCTGACCATTGACACAGAGGATTAATAAAAGATATCCACAAGCTGGGCGCTGGTGGCTCACGCCTGTAATCCTAGCTACTCAGGAGGCTGAGATCTGAGGATCGCGGTTCAAAGCCAGCCCGGGCAGGAGAGACCGTGAGACTCCTATC